TTTCTTCATCTCCCTGACTATCGCACTCTTTGCCAATCTGTTCCATTTGAATTCTTATTAATCATAAAGAAACTAAATGCACATGGCTTTAGTTTTCAACACATTACACACACTACAGCACATGTGCATTGATTGCTTTCAATGAAATAATGTGATCAATACCTCTCGCCTTCTATGAGACTGACTGAAACCAAAAACGTCATTTTTTGGCGTCATACCGCAACCAGTTTTGACTTTGGAAATGGCGTCAGCTATTGTAACATTTTTTTTTCGGTTTCCTGTAACAGTGCTTAAATCAGATTCTTCTCATGCCCGTCATACCTCACCTTCTCTCATAGTGGCATTACATAGCTTCCGCTCAGTAGTCCTAACTGTTCTACCTACTTATTCTGCAATCTACCCACTTTTCCCACAGTGTACCATAGTATATGGTTTGTAAAGAGAAGGATGTACTAAACCTCTAATTGGGCATACTGATACTTTTTTTTGGCAGAAGCTTAGAACCTGCTTTCATGCATACCATCATACTGCTGGGGGATAATTTCTGTTGACAGAACTGTAAAAATATTCATGTCCCATATTTTGTCAACCGCTTTCTGTTAACTTATTTTTCCACCTACCTGACTGGGTGTCATTGCTGTGAGCTCTGATTTCCACCACGCTGGTCTTTGTCTCAAACCACAACTGTTTAGGCTGGAGGCCATCACTGAACCACAGTTTGGTCACATCTACACAAGTTGAAAAGTACAATTAAAAAAAAAAACAAAAAAACAAAACAACCAAAAAAAATATAGTACAGAAATCAGCAAATCTTTTCTGGGGGGAGGGGGACTAATTTCTTGATGTGTTTGAATGGTGGAGACTGCAGAGAAAAAGTACATTTAAATTAGTTTGTTATGCCAACTGCTGCCTTAATGGGAAAAAGAAAGATGAAGCAAAGGTGATAGAAGGCTATGAAGTGATTAGAGTGAAATAGTAGGAAAACCCCATTGACTTAATCCCAAAGTAATCAAATTTGTCACATCAATTGCAAGTAAAACATCCAAAACATTTTCAAACCTTTATATAAATGCAAATATCTTAACATTTCAAATTGAAATAAAATACATTTCAACAACAAAACATTAACCTCCTAAGATCTGAACTCTTTTGTGGCATGTATTTTTAATTTCTCTTTGCTATTTGGGCTGATTGAGACCTGATGAATATAAAAAAAAAAAAACCAACAACAAATTACCAGATTTTTTAATTTTTTTAACCTGTTTTTTGTTTCTGACAAAAATGAGATCCACATATGAGGACATTCATTTTGAATTTCAATAGAACAGTAGCAGTGTAATGTCCTCGTAAGTGTGTATCAGGCCCTTGTAGAGCAGCATTTTGTATTTTGGTGTAAATAACCCAAAATGTGATGTCCACATATCTGGATGCCAGGTCCTAGGAGGTTAATATACAAATTCAAATAAGAAAAAACAAACAAACCCCTCAACCCACCCCACCCCCACTCGCTCAAACCTGCCCAGGCCCCCCACCCCCCCAAAAAGTAATCTCTACACTAGCCTTTGTACAAATAAATGTCTTAGCACTTCAGCCATTTGCTAGTATCACTGAATATGATGTCATGTCAACTAAACAAGGTGTTTGAATGCACATCAAAGCAAAAAGTATCTTACCTTTTCCCTGTGTGACCCAGAACAGGATGTTCTCAGTATATGTCAAGGACATAATCAGATCAGGTCCTGCCTTAAACTGTTTATATCCCAAACCATCCACTCCAATGGAGCTGATCACTCCTCCATCTGAAGAAAGAAATGAGGCAAACACAGAAGCAGGATTATCAAAAATACTCTCATCTCATATATGTCATTACTATACATTTTTTTTCACTTCTTTATTGGGATCATGTGTTGAGTTACTGCTCAGAGGAATTGAATACAAATTTGTCCCGGTCATCATGTGTGTGTGGGAGGTTTGTTTTATTGTGCGTTTAACTGTTCACCAGTGTCGGCCCAGTAGATTCTGGTCCCATTATTAACGAACACCAAGGAGTTGGGGATTCCAGACTTTCCCCACAGCACTGCTTTGTTCCGGCCATCCATCCAGGCACAGACCACCTGCGTCAGGCTCTTCCCACCTGCCATGACCGCTGCTGTGTAGCAAAGTCGACCTGAGGAAGGATGTAACGCGATGGATGTGGCAAGCTGAAAAGACAATTGTTAAACATTAAGCGTTTAACATGAGAAGGTCATTGGGTTGGCAAGGAAGGGAGCATAAAGCAAGGTGTGTGTTAGCAGTGTCTTTTCCTATGTGGATTATTATTTTTAGGACTGGTAATACAATACTAAAGATGTAGCTAAAAGTACATTTTTTTATCTATCTATCTATCTATCTATCTATCTATCTATTTATCTTATTGCCAATTTATTTTTAGTGCAATTCAATGGCAAATATCACAGCAGATTGAAAAGACCCATGAAAACGTCAGATGTAAGCGCTCACATCTGAGCAGAAATATGATAAGTGCTGCCTTCACCGTCAGTGATCCCTGCAGGAGAGACGTGGTGTAGCCACCATTACGGGATGTCACATGGATGTTGGGCCTCGAGCTGCTGCTCCAGTAGAGGTTAGAGGTCACCCAGTCAATTGCCAGAGCCGTGACCGAATCATCCTTATAGGACAGAGAGGGATAGCTTCCAGACTTAAAGTTTCGCCAGAAAGTGACACTTATTGGAGAGCTGAGGCTGATTTAATCACCAACTAAAGCCATTATCTAGAGTTAGATTATTAACTTTAAATTAAATGTCAGATGGTTACATCTTCAGGGTTTAACATCCTACTGTTTTCCCATTAAATACAAGACTTTCGCCCTAAGCATACCTTCAGCTTTAGGACTTGTCCAGCAGGTGTGAGTCCTTGTCTTGACCTGTAGCTTCCCATTTTCAGAACATCCACAGATCCCGCATAAGCCACATACAACTCCTGGGTGGAGACATCTAGCCCCATGGCTTCGTTTATATCCGGGAGGGCCAAGACTCGGCTGTTTGGCATTTTTTTCAGGGTTATACCATCCCTTCGCAAGGAGCGCAAGTAAATCTGCCAGTAGCAGGGAGGTGCGATTTAAAATGGAACAAAGCAGAAGACCCAATTTCTTAAATGTGTTGTCTAGAAGGGTTTTGCAGGATGGAAGGCCTTAACATCACTACAAAACATGTTACCTGGTAAATTGTGTTTTGAGACAGGAGCAGGATGAAAGATGAATCCCTGGGCCGAGAGCAGGTGATGTTGTCCTTGGAAAGCAGCAGACCCTTCGGGCATCGACATACTGCAGATCTGCCTGTCACCGGGGGGGCCAGAAGGCAAATATGGGAGCAGCGCAGATGGTCACAAGGACTGGGCACAGCTGGCTGCGAAAGGGCATGCATCAGCTAGGGAGAGAAGAAGATTTGACATTAAGACTCATAAGTGGTGACAGTCTTTGATCAAATGTGACTTCATTTTACTGTCGGAGTTCACCTTTAGCCCAAATGGCTGTCCCAGTCTCTTCAGAACAACCTTTTGGTCTTTCCCAGTGTTCTTGTCAGCTGAGCGTATGACTCTTCTCTTTGTGTCAGACCAGAAAACACGATCATTGAAGACCACCACTGAGAAAGGGTTTGGAGTTTCAGCCAACTGAAGGATCTAGTAAAAGAAAGCCATTACTGTGTTGTGATATTAGATAACTGCTGGGAGACTAGCCATAATCATACACTTTAAGACAGATTATTAGTAACATGGCCTATTAAAGGCATCTCAGACACCACATCATATGTTTTCCGTTTCTTATGTCTCTGGGTTCTGCTAGTTTTGAGGTTTGACGTTCAAATACCTTGATGTTGCCTCCATCCAGAGAGGCTGAGCCAATGCAGCGCAGTTTCTCATCTGCCCAGTACACTTTGTTATCTAGGAGGTCATAGGCCAAACTGACTGGCCAACTCAAACTGTGGCTCACAACCACCTTTCTCTCTGAACCATCCATCCCAGACTGCTTAATCTGAGGTGTGCTGCCGATCTCAGACCACAGCATCAGCCTAAGGACATTAATTATACAATACATGGCTGTGATGTCAAAGCTGGAGTGCTTTCGTATTACAAAAAACAAAATAAATGCACAAAGCAGAGAAACTCACCCTTTATGTGGCAGCAGAACCAAGGAGCTTGGCTGCTCCAAGTCTTCTCCCAGGACCACAGTGCAGTCCTGAGACCTCACTGTGGTGTTGCTGAGTTTCACCGCCAGAATTTGGCCAACCAGGCCATCCACCCAGTATAAATTCTTACCCACCCAGTCCACTGCGATGAAATCAGACTTCACACCTGTGAGATTTAATAACAGCATCTCAGATTCTGATGATTCACCATCTCAATCTATCTATCTATCTATCTATCTATATTTTTAAGTGAGGTCCAGTGAGGTCCTAAATTAAGTAGATTCACTACATTTCCAATTTTTAAATTCACACACAGGCCCAGATTACGAAATTTTACCTTTGACCAGGTTTCCTCTTTTGTCTGGTTTTCTCATGTCGACCCAGCGGATGCTCTGGTAGTCAGTGCTCAGCCAGTAAATCCTTTGTTGAACCCAGTGATAATCCAGTGAGAAGGCGGGTCGACTGGTAGAGGTGAGGAGACGCAGCATGCCGCTATGGACTCCCAGCAGGAACAAGTCTGACTGCACTGATGCCAGAAGCAAGGGCTCATCTAGGAGGAAACATGACAAAGTTACTTTTGTGTGTCTTCTGTAGAAGTGATACAACCACGCACACAAAAACTAAAGGCCAAAGATTGTCTAAGTCTGTACACACTGCTACCATTTCTAAACATAAGTCACTACTAAAAACATTTTAATAATGTGTTGATTACTTTCTCATCTAAAAACTATGGAAGCTTATAGTTTGAAGCTCAATTCTTCCTTGCATAGACTCAACAAGGTGCTGAAACATTCCTGGTCCGTGTTGAGATGCTGGCATCACGTAGTTACTGCAGATTTGCTGGCTGCACATCCATGATGCAAACCTTCTCCTACATCACATCCCAAAGGTGCTCTATAGCAGTCTTTCTCAAACTGTGGTACGTGTACCACCAGTGGTACTTGGGCTCTCTCTGGTGGTATGTGAGAAATCTGCAATTTGTTTAAGATTAAATTATATACCATTGTAGAGGTATGCAAAGATGACACGAGAGTACCAGAGGCTCTTCTGGGAGCCGAAGTCAATCAGAAAACGTCTCCCAGAGCGTGAGTCCTCTATGAAGAGCAGCCTTTCCTTATCATCACAGCCGCTACAGAGCGCTGAAGGGCTTGTTTCCCTGGGCCTTAAAACTGCAAAGGCAGCAAGGCTCTATCACTCTGATGGTAAAAAACACAGGCCTTTTTCCGCAGTGCCGCGATCCCCGCCACCATTGATGAGTCAAATACCCCTGGGAGAATTGGTGGGGGCGCGGGAGATGCCGTCGGTGAGTCGGGAACTATTGTGTGGATGCCGAAGCACCTGGTAGACATGAGAATGCGATCCACTTCTATTATGTGGCAGCAGCAGCGCCTTGAGAGTGGTGTATTTCCCTTGGATGGTTTGTAGGGTTACTGAAGTTGGGCTAGCTGGTATATAATGATGTGTTGTGTGGTGGCTAGCTACACAGCTATGGTTAGCATAATATAAACACAGTGAAGCTGGAGGATGAACGCCAACATTTTCCACTCCATAAAGGTTAACGTGAGGGTTCGCGATGGTTAGGGACAAATGCAACCGCATGGCAGGATGCTGTAAACGGACCAAACTTCAGTCAGGAGAACAACTGAGATATAAGGTTAGTCATTAACATACTGCTGCATGGGCTGGGCTGTAGTTACATCGTAAGGTTTTAAAAACGGAGCTTTAAAATGAATAGTGGTAATAAAAACCAAGAGAGGCCGACAGTGATCACTGACTTTTTTCAGGGGCTTGTTCAGATTAAATAGAACAAGAATCTAAGCATTAAAACATGTTAAAAACACAACATCCTTAATAAACTCAGTAGTTTGGACCCGAGAGCAGGGTTCATCAGGTCATCACTTAAAGATTGGATATCCCACCTGCTGTGAATGTTTTAATGCAGTACAGGTGTTATTTTTATCATTATGTCACATCCTGTTTATGACAGTTCAAATAAATAACATTCATATAAGAAATAAAATAGTCTCTGTAAACTGTATGTGGTGTTAAATAGGCCTATACTACTAAAGTTTGAGAACCACTGCTCTATAGGATTGAAATCTGGTGACCATGGAGGGTTTTTGTGAACAGTGTTTTTCCCCAATCTTCTATTGTCCAGTTTTGGTGAGCCTGTGTGAACTGTAGCTTAAATTGTAGCTTCCTATATTTAAGCTGACAGGAGTGGCACCTAGTGTGGTCTTCTGCTACTGTAGTCCATCTGCTTCAAGGTTCGACATGTGTGCTCAGAGATGCTCTTCTGCATAGCTTGGTTGCACCAAGCAGTTATTTGAGTTATTAGTTTAAAGTAGTCTGGCCATTGTTCTCTGACATCAACAAGGCATTTTCACCCAGAGAGCTGCTTGTCACTGGATAGTTTCTCTTTTGTGACCCTTCTCTGTATACCCTAGATATTGTCATGGCATTTTCTTAATACACAGACTAGCCTGCCTGGTACTTAAAATCACTTTTCTTCCACAATCTGATGCCCAGTTTGAACGTAGCTTGTCTTGATCCTGTCTACAATGCATAAATACAGAGTTGCTGCCGTTTGCAAGTTAGAAGTAGCTCAGTGCAGTGGGACTTTGATGTGATATACAGTAGTTTGTTTCATGGCCTCAGTCTGTATGTTTTTTTCCCCCCTGTGTTCTCTGATGAAGATAGTTTAATTTTGCTTTTCTGACATTCAGCAATCATACTGTCACATTTCAAATAAATCGTGTACATCTCCTTTTGTGTATGAACAATACTTGAAGTGACTGACTTTGTATGTTTTGACACAATAGGTTTTGACTGTTAGTGCCTGTTGCACAGATGAGTCCATGTTATGAAAAATATAACCGATTTTAGTGGGGAAAAAAAAAAGTGACAGTGATGTTCCTGATGTGGGAATAGTGACAAAATGATGGAGAAAGAGTCACTTAGAGACAGAATGCGTCCAGACCAACTGCACCTTTCGTCTTGCAGCTTTTGTTATCAGGCTCCAGGTAGAAGCCAGGGTGGCAATGACAGCTGTAGGATCCACGGGTGTTCCGACAAATGTGGTTGCATACGGCATGAGGTGCTGTTGTACACTCATCGATGTCCACACAGTGTGTGGCTCTGGACATCAGTCTGAAACCCGCAGCACAGTAGCACTTCTGGAAAAATACGGGAAGATGACATTTCCAGGATAAGTTCAGCAGAGATGTGATAAATATAGTTATCATTTATGGGAAATTGCCAGATAACCAAATACACATCTGTTCTGCACTGACCGGACCATACGGTGTGCTGACACAGCTGTGTTCGCATAAGGGAGCCGATGGACTGGAGCAGCTGCGCAGCACACAATTCACACCCTCATCTGACCCATCAGCACAGTTAGTGACGCCATTACACACCAGGTTAGTGTCCACACACTCTCCACTGCCACACTGGTAAAGATGAGAAGGGCATATTTTCTGGCTACCTGTGAAGATTAATACATGAAAAATAAAATTAAAATTAATGGTGAATGTGTGTAATTTGTTTTCTAACTACACAGCTTCCCAACAGTGAATAAAATCAAGGATTTCCTCTGGTTTAAAAACATCCAGAAACAGAAAAGAGGTTTTTAAGATAGAAATTCTCTCATTTTAATGGGCAAAAATGTGGGTCATTTGAAGCACCACAGGCATACTCTTACTCATTAAAAATAAAAATGCACAAATTAGGGGTTCAAATTACAGTCACTTTGAAAATGATGAGTTCCCCTTCTAACTAATCAAATGTGTGTGAATCCGTCCAATGAACTATGACATCAGCAGTGAACATGCTTACATTTTTCCTCGTCGATGCCATTGTAACAGTCCTTTCTCCCGTCACACCTCCATGAAAGAGGAACGCACTGACTGCTGTCTCCACACTGCCACTGGAACTTTAAGCACTTTGCTGGAGGAGCATTGCAGTTCTGGACAGAAATGATAATGATTACACGCTTTGCTCTGTTTTTCTAAGCATTCCCTTTCTTCTTAGCTCGACAAATCAAGATGTACTCGACTTTCATTCCCCACCTTCTCGTCTGAACCATCCTGGCAGTCGTCCTCGCCATCGCAGAGCCACTCTTTCTGCAAACACTCATGAGTGTGTGGGCATTGGAGTTGTGTGAGGCAGTGTGGGGGCCTCGAGCAGTGCAGTTCATCAGAGCCGTCACTGCAGTCGGCATATCCGTCACATCTCAGTGCCTCAGACACGCACTGACCGCTAGCGCATCGATACTGATGATCCGCACAGGACACCAAACCTGGAAAGAGGAAAATAAACGTGGATGTAATTTCATGTTTGCATGCTTTGTTTTTCTGAAATTTCTGAAAGGCACCCACCACAGTTTTCCTCATCTGACCCATCAGCGCAATCTCTCTCTCCATCACACAGGAAGCTCTTTGGTATGCAGCGAGTATTATTATCACAGCGCTGATGGCAGCCCTCAATCATAACTGAGCAGTCAGTTTCATCAGATCGGTCCTGACAGTCATTTTGCCCGTCACACACTCGCTCTTGTGGGAGGCATTTTTTCCCATGAGAACACTGGAACTCACCTGGGAAAGAGAAAGATCATTTTCCTTCAAGATAATCAGACATGTTTCCTGCCCACATTAAAACCTAGATCAGTATTTTTCCAACTCAAAAGGGAAAAAAAATATATATAAGGCACCTGCTTTACACTGAATAGCACATCCCTCTTCATCTGACCCATCCTTGCAGTCCTTTTCGCCATCACATAAGTGGCTGTACATGACGCACTCCAGGCCGTCGTCGCACAGCTTAAAACCATTGCGGCACTTCAGAGGAGTCGATCTGGTGCCGAGCTCGTCAGAGGCTTGGCAAAGAGAAAAATAAATCAAAAGAAACTAGCTTAGATTGAACGGTGAGCAAAGTAACAGCAAATTAGGAGATTTTGTTTTGTTTTCAGTTGTTGGTTTAGCAGTGTATGTTTTAGTTAGTATGATGTTTCAAACTATGGTTGCTATTGGGTGTAGAAAGTACATCAGCTGTGAGTTGGGGTTTTTGTTTAGCTAGAACTACAAGTGGAGGGGGAAGGATCAATAATATTCCTGTAATTTCCCAATTGTTTGTGCTGGTCTGCTTTCTGTCTCGACTTACAGGTGGCAGTGGGATTTGGTGACTGACAGTGCTTCTCGTCAGAGCCGTCGGGACACTGGGCTTGGCCGTCGCACACTTGCATTTCAGGGATGCACTGTTTGTGGTCACTGCACAAGAAGTCATCTGATATGCAGGAACAAAAAGGTTATTTAGGATTTCAAAGCTCAAAACAAAGCACTTCACTGTTTAAAAAACTCTCCTAGAGTGAGTTCCTGCCACGTTAGTCTGGTTGGATGTGTAAACTACTGGTAGCTTTCTCCATAGTAACTTCTACTCTTACTTGAGTTTTCACACTGGACAGCACAGCCGTTTTCGTCAAATCCATCAGGGCAGTCTCTTTGTCCATCACACAGCTGATGTTTAGCAATGCACAGTGATGATCGAGGGCAGAGAACTGAAGGAGGAGTGCACGGTGAAGCAAAAGGAAAAGCAGGAGCCTTGGTTGTTGAGGTGTTGTAGTCTGGAAAGAAAGGAAACTATTAAACTGGTGTTTTATTTTGTAACCTGGGACAACATCAAATAAACCTTATTGAAACACTCAGTTACTCTGCTTCGCTATTCCAGTTTTAGTTTTCAGTACTTACTGCAGCCCACTTCATCTGAGCCATCCACACAGTCTTTTTCTCCATCACACAGGAACTTCTTTGGGATGCAGCGCTTCCC